TTCAGCAAATGTCTGACTTTTTTGGCGTGAATTTTTCAAATCTACCAATATAGAGCCTAGTAGAAAGACAGTGGGTCCCTTTTGTGAATATCTGAATGATAAGTTTCAGGGGAATTACGACGAATTCCAGCAACAAGAACAAAAGCATGCCTTTCCTCGTTTAGCCCAGCCTTGTTGCAGTTAAATTAGCCTGATGCTTATTCAGCATATACAACGAGCACGAAGAACTTAAGGTCCTTATATTAGTAGCAACAAGTATAGCACATACTGAAATAAAAATATACCTACCTTTATCGTTTATCACCGTGAGCAATTGTTATTGATTTACATATTTATATATCATTAATGCAAATCAGAATATAAAAAAGTTGCGAGGGAATCGTTCACAAGCTCAACTTTGGCAATTGACATAAAACTGATTATGAATCGAAGATAATTTATATACATATTGATCCACGGCGTGCCATGATATGTCATTGCTTGCTTTTGACGTGATGGGAGCCCATCAATTTGCTTCATGCTCCCCTTTCCCGCCTTCGTCAGCCATCCCCTCCACCCTCAATGTATACATTTTAAACCGACAAATTCAGTGGCAGCGTATCCTCTCTTTTTACTGTTCTCTATATTACTCATTGCTCCTTTTCTACTCCCACCCCATGCTTTCATCACGCGCCCCGGATGTCTTGGGAAAAGACAGGGTTGTTTCAGGCCACCCTATAGCTTAAATATGAACCGATAACTCATAGGTATCTTAGACATGAGGGACATGATTGCGTTCCTTTCCATGACCCCAATAGAGATCCACCAAGCAACATTAGCGTCTTTTTCAGCTGCTAGTGATAACTTCTATAACTAAAGTATAATTTGTCTAAAAAGCGACTATTATTGTTTTACCTAAGTTGTCAAAACGCCAGCCTGCGACTGGTATCTCTACAAGGGTATTAAACAAAATACCACGCTTTTAGTAAATATTGAATGCTTTTAAACATATTGGGACACATAAAATGATGCTATTTTCATATACA